TATATATCAATTATTATGAATTATTCAGACAATATTAATTTATTAATATATGTATAATTGTGTAAATAAAAAAAAAATCTGATTTTAATTCATGATAAAAATCAACTCTATCATAAAATAGTCTGATTATACAAAAATTTATTTTTGTAATTCGCTTTGTAATGATAGATGTTTGTCTTAATCTTGAATATTATAAAATTTATTATATGTAATTTAAAATTTTAATTTTTATTGTATCTTTTTATCTTAAATTATTTTACAAAAAATTAATTTTTTTATTTAAATTTATTGTTGTATTATTGTATTATTAATAAATGTATTATTTAGATGTAAGATTCCTGGGTGTGGAGCTCAAGTGAGTAATGTAACTGGTCTATGGAAACATTACCAGGATAATCATGCTAATTCAAAGCTATCAATAATACAAGGAAGTAAAAATAGTGAAATATTTCGGTAAGTTATATATAATAAAATTAATTGTTTAGAAATCATAATTAATATTCTAAGAGCAATCAAATAAACATATTATCTATATTATATTAATATTAATATTAATTTCAAATATTTTTGAACTTGTCATTAAAAATTGTTTTGAGATGATTAAAACAGAACATATTTCAGTTGCAAAATTCCTGGATGTGAAACAGAATTTAATACAACAGTAATGTTGTATAAGCACTTTACCGAAGTACACTCAAATGGTACTAGTAATAATATTAGCACAAATACAAAGACTGGGAGTAGTTTTCATTATACTGAAATATTTAAAGATGATACTACTAATTTGCAAGCAAATTTTAAGACTGACTTTAAAGCAAAAAATAATATTAATGTAAATGACTGTACGATAAGTACTGATGATCAAAGATCATTATCAATTGTTAAAAAGGAAGCAAGGGATTGACTTCAAATAAATTGATATTATAAATGTGAGGATAAATAATTGTAGTGATGAATCAGAGTACTTTACTAGGGCCAAAAATATTTAAATTATGAAATAAATTATTGTTTTGAATTCTCTTTGCAAACAGAAATGTCCTATCTTTTATTTTTTGTCTTTTTGCCTAGTCATTTTTTATTATCTTTTTATTATTGGCCCTTGTTAATTACTCAAATCTTTGATTTAAAATTACAGTCACAAAGACTGTAAGACTGAAATAGAGAAATAACTTGAAAATTATCAGAGTTATTTCTCTATAGTTTTCAATTATTTCATTGTAAAAACCATACAATAAAAGTTTCATACTTTATAATATTATAATAAACAAATATTCAGATTTATATTAATATTTAGAAATAACTAACAATTTTGTGATTTAATACTTATTTCTTAAATACTTATTTCAAAAAGCAATACTTGTTTAAAACATGTAATGAAAGAAAGTAATTTTCTTTATAAGAGAATTAATATATTCAATGTTTTTAAATATATTTCATTATTATTTTAATAAACAAATTATAATAATTCTATTATTCAAAGAAAATATTAAATTAATTTTGCAATATTTAAAAAAATAATATCAAAACAAGTCTTAAATTTAAAAAGTTAAAATTCAATATTCAATCAATATAATACATAAATGCAAAATAAAAATTTCATAGATTATAATATCAACATTATGACAAATGTAAGAATAAAGTTCTTGAAAAACAAGAAAAAAATTCATTGCAGTAATTTGTGCATTTATTAATGTTAATGTTAAAACTCTTTCCATACTTTCCATATTTTTTACTATTTTGTATTATTGTATAATTTTGATGTAATTTATATTAGGTCATGTTATAATTATAATAGATATTGTAGATATATAAACATATATACATAGCATTTTCATTTATATGTCTGTACATTGAAAAATAAAGTGCAATAGTAAGTAAAATCAGAAAATTCATTAAATATAGAATACATAATTATTCTGCATAAAAAACATATAAAAATCTTATTATTTATTTTACAAATGCTATTAATATATGAAATATTTTATTTTTTAATTTTTTTACGCAGAACTATATTGAATAATATTACTCGTATAGCGTTATTTCTCCGAGATGCTATTTTATCTGTAACATTATTTAATCTTAATTTAAACAGAATTGTTCTTCATAGCTATAATTATATTGATATAATAAGCAATGTTTTTTATGTTATATTTTATAAATTTAATTATTTGGTGCGCGGCTCAGAAACAAAATTTTCTTTTAATTATTATTGACGATTTAAGAACTGCTTTAGGATGTTATGGCGATACTAAAGCGTATACACCGAATATAGATCATTTAGCAACAGAAGCTGCCATTTTTTCTCAAGCATTTGCTCAGGTTAGCATAAAAAAATGTTTTAAAACATGCGAAATTTACATATATTGTATTGAATAAAAAAAAATATAAATAATAAATAGAGAATATGTAAATTTTTTTAGCAAGCACTGTGTGCACCAAGTAGGAATTCATTTTTAACAAGTCGAAGACCAGATACACTTCATCTTTATGACTTTTATAGTTATTGGCGGAAAGATATTGGTAATTTTACAACATTGCCGCAACATTTAAAAAATAATGGATTTATTACTAAATCCATAGGAAAAGTTTTTCATCCAGGTTTCTTGTTTTTTTTTTTTTCTAAATAAAATATTAATTAAAATAAATAATTTCCAATATGAATTTTTTTTATTATATCATCATTTTTATTATATATTTTATAGGAATTAGTTCAAACAATTCTGATGATAATCCTTATTCATGGTCAGAAATTCCTTTCCATCCATTCACAGAAAGATATAAAGATGCTCCAATATGTCAAACAAATATGCAAATACTACCAGCACAAAATCTTGTAATATTTGATATGATGAATTACTATTTAAAAAAAATTTTTTTTAAATTTAAAAAAATATTAATATATAATAATTTTTTTTCATGTTTTTAGATATGTCCAGTTAAAGTTTTGTCAATGCCAAATAAAACATTACCAGATATAGAAATATTAAAAGAAGCTAAATATTTTTTATCTAATCAAGCAGGAAATCCTTTTTTTTTAGCAGTTGGATTTCAAAAACCACACATACCATTCAAATATCCTAAAAAATATTTAAGTATAGTTCAATATTATCACTATGTTATAATAATTATAAAATTTTTAATTAAAGAAATCATTTTGAATGAATTTTGTAGAATATCATCCTTTGCAAAAATTTAAAGTACCTCAACCATACAAATGGTCAAAAAATGTTAGTAGCATAGCCTATAATCCATGGAATGATTTAAGAAAAAGGAAAGATGTTGCTGCTTTAAATCTTAAATTTCCATGGAAAAAAATACCAAGTACAATTTAAATAATATATGAAAATTAATTTTTATTCTTATAATATATACTGATATGATCTTTTTTAATTTTTAGAAAGCTTTGCTAAATTAATTATTCAATCATATTATGCATCTGTAACATATATTGATGATTTAATTGGTAAATTAATAAATCAATTGGAAATTTTATCAATTCGAAAAAATACTACTATCATATTAATGTCTGATCATGGTAAGTCAAAATAATAGTTAAAATTTTTATATTTCTTAAATTATTAATCAATACTTTATTTTTTTAATCAATATTTGCATAGGATGGTCATTAGGAGAGCATACAGAATGGGCAAAATACAGTAATTATGATGTTGCTTTAAAAGTACCATTAATAATATCAATACCTGGACTTACTTATAAGAGATCAAAAGAGAAAGCAAATAATTCATTAGAAAAGAATCCATTATTTATAAATTCAATAGTAGAATTAGTTGATATTTTTCCAACAATTGCAGATTTAGCAAATATTTCAATACCTATTTGTTCAAATGAAACAATGGAAATTACTTGCAGTGAAGGAATATCTTTTATGCCACTTATACAAGCTGCTTTAAGAAAGGAGGTATAAATAGAAGGAATAAATTTAAAAGTTCAATTTCTGACTTTATAATAGATAATATAATAGATAATTCAATAATAGATAATTATTGCGAAACTGCTATATATTGAAATATATATTTAATAATTTATAGTCAATATTATGGAAAGAAGCAGCATTTGGACAATATCCAAGACCAAGCATTAAACCTTCAATACATCCAAATAGCGATGAACCACGTTTAAAAGAAATTAAAGCAATGGGATACACAATAAGAACAAATAAATATCGTTATACAGCTTGGTTATCATTTAAATCTGAAACTAAATTACCAGATTGGAATGATATTATTGCAGAGGAATTGTATAATCACAATAATGACGAAGGTGAAAATCGTAATATAGCGACTTTTCAAAAATATGTTAAATTAAAAAAAAAGTTAAAGTTTTTATTGCAACATGGTTGGAAAAATATTTTATCAAATAAATCTATATATTATCTTTAAATTATACTTATATTTAATTTATTAATTTGTTATTATAATACTTTACATACATTTTTCTTAAATAAAATAAGTTTTGTCATGTTTATAGAATTGAAAGCAATATGAAACTTGTCTAATGTAAGTTTATCTTTAAATTAATATTATAATAAATAAATTATACATTCTATTAATATTCTATAATAATCTAAGTTGATATAAAAATCTTTTGTAAGCACATATATAAGTGTAGCATATACATATACATATATATAAAAGATTTATATACTTATAATATTTTTATGAATATACAATTTAAATTCAAAAAAATATACTAAATAAAAAATAATATATCCAATACAATTATTATCCAAATACTAATTAGTATTTAATATTTAAGCTTTTTAGTAACAATAACATCATACATTATATTACATCAAAATTGACGTAACATAATACAAATATAAAATATTAAAAATCTAGATGAAAGTATAATTGAGTAGAAAACAAAATATCGAAGTAATTTTATGCTATAAAAAATAATATAAAATTTTTTTAAGTTTAATTAATTAAAAATATTAATCTATTTAATATTAATTAAATTTAATATTAATTAAACTTTTTAATAATATTTATTTCATATCTTTTGATTTATTTATTCTTCTTGGTTTTTATTTTTATTGTTTACTGTACTTGAAGTAACCTGAAATTATAAAGAAATGTAGTATACATTTCTCTCTCTCTCTCTCTCTCTCTCTCTCT